CCTCTTTCTTATTTTTTGAAATCCTTTGGAAACCTGTTGGATGAAAAAGATTTTCTAGAACTCTAAATGGTATGATAGTGACATCTACTGTAATAGCTCATATTGTTACAGTCTTTGAAGAAGTTGCAGTTTAGATAATTTAACAGTATCATCAGGAAGAACTTAACAGTTGATTTCATCACCTGCCATTTTTGGAGGAGAGGAGGTATAAAAATGTGTCATCAAATATATTTTAACAGAATCACTTATAAAAGTAATTACAGTAAAACCTCAATTTTCCAAAAACTACCATCAGTTAAAAGATCTGGGTTATTAAAAGAGGTTTAAAGATGTTACTGGATTCTCTAATCAGCTGAGAATTTAAAGTTCAGGTAGGCCTGTGATTAGTGTTTGGTCTAAAAAAGCTCGATTTGGTAAGTGCAAGAATATTAGATGGAGGAGACCAGAGACAGGGAAACAGCCAAAGGAACGTGAAAAGGTAGCAAGTATTGGAGCAGCTTAGGTGAGGTGACCCAGGTACAGCAGAGGACAGGAACAGGGGATGACAGGAATGCAGGAGATAGACCCACAACATTTCATCAGGAATTTAATTTAAAAAGCAATTTACTGAGATAGATTCTGGAGTTAGTACAGGGGTAGCCCAAGCTGTTACCTTTGCAGTGTTATACGATTAGAATTGTTGACTATATTGACCCTAAAATACTTAAAAAAATCCCAGAACATCAAAAAGGTTTGTGTTCAATATATTATACTTGGTCATAAGAGGATATAAACAGATTAGAAAGCCTTTCTACTAGGTTAAAACAGAAAAGTTGTGCTTGGAAGATTAATTTGGTGACTAGACGGCTCTCTTCTCTGGCTATTCCATTTGCAAGTTCACTAAAACTGTATTTTTTATAAATTTGCTAAGCATTGTTCTATTTTAATTGATCATAAATTAATTACATTCTTGTAACAGTTTTAAAAATATTCAATTTTGAAATATTTCAAGTATACAGAAAAAGTTCAAATATTTCGGATTAACAGACATCCATGTAACCACTACCCAGGTTTACATTTTTTTTATTTAGTATTAACATTTTGCCACATTTGCCCTATATATTTTTTTAAAGAAATAAAATTTTGTACAGTCATGTGCCACATAATGATGTTTTGGTCAACGGTGCACTGCATAGACATTGGTCCCATAAGATTAGTATCATATAGCCTAGGTGTGTAGTAGGCTATACCATCTAGGTTTGTGTAAGTACATTTTATGATGTTCACTCAGTGATGAAATTGCCTAATATATCCCTGTTGTTAAGTGACACATGACTGTATACACAGCTGAAGCTCCCTTCTATACGTGTTTTTGTACTTTCTGTAAGTATATAGTTATGAACAATGTACACCATTGTGTGGGAACTTAAGTTGGTAACTGCTTTGGAGAACAGTTTGCAATACCCACTGGAGTTGACAGTGGTCTTTGTCAATTATCTTATGGTACATAACATACCACCTCAAAAATTTAGTGACTTAAAACTGATTTCTTATTTCTCCTAATCTGTGGGTTGTCTCAGTGGTGGTTCTCCTTATTTCACCTTGGTTCATTAATGGGGCTGCATTCAGCTGGGACACTAGCTGGACTGGAAGTTTCTAATGCAGGGACACTAGCTGGACTGGAAGTTTCAAGATGGCCTCTCTCACGTTTGGCAGTTTATGCTGGTTGTCAGCTACAGTAATGTCATTTCTCTGCCATGTGGCCTCTTGTCTTCCAGTAGGTTAGACTAGCTTCCTTCCATCCTGGTTGAGGGCAGCTATACAAGAAACAGAAGTGGAAGTTGCAAGGCCTCTGGGTGCCTGGGCCCTGAACTCCCATAGTGTGGCTTCCTCACGTTTTCTAGGTCAGAGCAAGTCAGAAGGCCAGCCCAGATTCAAGGTGAGGGGAAGCAGACTACACCTTTTGGTGGGAGGAGTGGCAGTCACATTGCATAGGAGTGTGGAAAGACTTGTTGCCGCCATATTTGAAGACAATCTACAACATTTATCATACTCTTCAGTTCAGCTATTTTACTCCTGTCTGTCCTGGAGAAACTCTTTCACAAAAACAGACATGTACATGTTGTTCACTGCAGAATTGTTTATATAGCAAAAAAGTAAAACAATGTAACTATCTTTCCAGAGGAAGATGGATAATAAATTTTAGTTTATTCAGAGAATACCATATAGTAATTAAAATGAATGAACTACATCTATATGGATCAGCATAAATAATTCTAAAAATAGGTTGAGTGAAAAAATCAGGATGGAAAAGAATATGGGTAGAATGATATTTATGTAACAGCTTTAAAGTTTAACATTTGAAGTTTCTCAGGTAGGCAGTGAGTATTTTGGTTTTGCTTTTGCTTTCAAATGAAAGCTTACCTTTGGTTGGCCTCCTTAGAATTTGGTGCTCTGAGTGGCTTCTATTCATGGATGGCCAGTTAAGCTGTGCTGTTTTCTGGCCAGACTGAGTGCTTTGTCTGTGCTAGCCATTACTATAAGCCTGTGTTTAGTTTGTTGGCCATTTGAGAGAGTGTAGCTTTTAGTGCAACTTTAATGTTGGAAAAATCATCTTAGAGTACAGTTCTTGAGATAATTCATTTAATACCACCATCTATATTTATTCCAGTTTAACCTCTCTCAGTTGTTATTTATCTGTACGTGAGGAGTTGTTATTTATCTGTACTCCATGTATCTCATGGAGGTGCTGAGATTAATTAAGATAATAATGTATAAAACATGTAGAGTAATACCTGGTATAGGGTAGATGCTCTATTAACAGAAGTTAGAAAAAAATTAGCAAGTATATAGAGTGACATCTATGTTCAGTTCACTTTCATTTGTGTAATGACTAGGTAAGATTAATTATAATGGGCTTTTGAAATTATGAAAGTCCATTATGATTAACTCTAATACTTGACGTTTTAAAGGAAATTTAAATTTACAAAGTTCTTTCACATTCATTATCTCATTTTATTGTCTTTGTAAGATAGTTGTCTTCTGAAACTCCGAGTTTCAGGAGAGATTAAACAAGCAGTGGTAGTAGAAGGTTTATAGTGGTTCTAATGAAGGCATATAAAGTGGAAATAATGATTCTATAGTATTTTCATTTTTATGAGTTCTTTTGTGTTTGTGTGCTTTACCTACTTAGATTCTGAATAGATTTGGCTCTGGACTTTTTTTTTCTGTGTGTGTGTGTGAGAGAGAGAGAGAGAGAGAGAAAGGAAGGGAGAAAGATTGTAGAGGAGGGTTGGTTGTATCCTAGTGGAACTCTTTGGAAGGAGAGATCCACAGCCTGTGTCTCACTCAGATCCAATAGCGTTTTATTACTCCCCCACCGCCCTTTAAATACAGGGCTGATTGGCAAGATTTTTTTTTTTGCAAATTTATATATATTTGATGGCAGATAAGTATATGCCAGGGATTTGAGGAGATTCCCCTAGGTTGAATATGGATTAAAATTAACCCACCAATTTGCTAACTTTGTAGAATGTGTTAAGCCAGATGTGGCAAGTTTGTTTGGTGGCTACTGTTCAAATGCATTGATTCAGTTAATCCTTTCTCAAAGGTAAAAGTCATGCATGTTCTTTTATTTCCTGTTTTGGTTTTCTGTTTTAAAGGTTTAAAATATACCTATAAATTTGTGACTCTTGAACTTCTTTTTGTTATCCAGCCCTTAGGGACCGGTGACCCACAAGTGGGTCCTTTTGCCCAGAGTTGCTCGTGCCAATAGAATGAGACCAGGTTCAGAACAGCAGAGCAGAAAGTTTATTCGTTGATCAAGGAATGGAGAAGGGGGAGAGCTCCTGCTCTAAAGCATCTTCTTCCCGAAGACAGGGAAATGGCGAACTTTTAAAGGGCCTGGGGTCGTCGTGTCATCAGGGTTCCGGAAAAGGGCTGAGATTTCCAGGAACAGTTGGTGCATGCGCAGTCCTCCAAGCTTCTTTGCGCAGGGCACCAAGTGTGCCTAGCAGGGTACATGGGGGGTGGGGGGTTGGGGGGGCAGAGATTTAGGTATGGTAATGAAGCAGAGGCAACTTCAGGTCTCCTCCAAGTCCCTCTGCACAGGCGCTGCTCCTGTGGTGGGGTTAGAGCTGGTTTAGAGCGGTTTGCAGTTGCGATTTCTCTGAGGCGGAAGCCCATCTCAGCTGAAAAACATCTCAAAGGAAGATGTTCGTTGTGGGCCAAAGCTAAGTTTTTCTGTTAGGAATATGTGTCGGTGCACCAGGGATATATGTGGGTGACATTTTGTGGAATGAAACTCTTGGTGGCTGGTGGTGTGTGTAGTCTTCGCTTCTTGAGTAATTCCAATTTGGGGATATTTTGTAATTTTTTGAGAAATTAGATACTTCATGTGTTAGTTCATCATCTCTTTTTCCTAGTATCATCTAAGTAAATCACCTTTTACCATATAAGGGTTTCCTCCGCTATCCTCTGAAACCTTTTATAAGCCGAAATGGCCTAAAGTGAAGACGCAGTTACCATTAATTTATATGGGAAAAATTTTTGGGTGTTCCCAGACCCAAAAAATAACCTACCAAAATAAATCGAGATCAAGCACAGATGTTCACAGACAGCTCAAAGCTGTGGCAGCATGATGCTGAGTGTAGTTCCTGGGGAAGGAGTGTGGTGGCGCTCTCGCTGCTCATGGTGCACACTGCCTCTGTAAGGGCTGGCTGCAAAACAAAGCTGAACGCTATTTTCACTTTTGCGAAAATCCTCTTTGGATTTCTTTCAGTTATCGAAAACAGGTACTAATGTAGGTCTTGCATAAAAGCAAAGTGGCATAAAGCAAACGTTAGGATAGCGGGGGAAACCTGTGTATGGATTTACTTCCGGGTAAGTAAATTTGACTTACTTGGGATCATATGCGGGTGTTGGATTAGTTCTGAAACAGGTTATACTTGTCACTTATCCTGTGCCTCTGAAATATTAGAAACAAATGATATTAAATGTATCTTTGTTTTGTTTTGTCTCAGAGTCTCTCTTGATTTTGGAAGAAATACCTGATAACAAACATGACTGAGTTCTGGCTTATATCGGCTCCTGGGGAGAAAACGTGTCAGCAGACGTGGGAGAAATTGCATGCGGCAACTACAAAGAATAACAATCTTGCTATTTCTTCGAAGTTCAACATTCCTGACTTAAAGGTAAAACTGCGCTGTGCAGAATAGTGTATGAGCTCTTCATGAAGGGGAGGACAGTCGTTTCTCCTTCCTTTTGGTAGGAATGAGATTCCTTCAAAAGAAAACTCTCATCTCTAGGCATTGGCATAATTTAAAATCTATCTCGTTCTTTCCAGTCTTCAGATTTTAGATAATGAGGAAATTGAGATTTTAGAAGTAAACTGCCAAAACAAAATAACATTTTCCCTAAGTTTTTATGCTTTTCTAAATTGTAATTTAAATTGTAATGAGAAATCTTATGAAAATATTTGATATATTACATTCACAAATACGATTTTCAGAAGTGAAAAATCTTAGTAATATATTTTTAAATATCACAGTGAATCCATTTTTCTATTATTAAATTCATATAGTGCTCACTAGTGTTGTAAATATTTTACCATTGCACCTCTTTAATCATACTTGGCAAATCTAACCTAGTTATTTAATTTAGTTAATCTATTTAACATTTATTAAACATTTATTAAAGATCAGTAACTTGGCAACCTCACAGTGAAGCAGGCTGCCAAAGCTTGAACTTTTGGAAAAGATCATGATATTTATATTTGGTGGTTGACTAAGTGAGGCAGTTAGTTATACACAGCAGTCATTTAAGAAATACTTAAAATTGCTGGTTCTTAATATTTCGGGAGTTACGAATTCCTTTGAGACACTTATCTAGACTGTGGACATTTCTTCCAAAACATGCTCATTTACACACAGTTTTGCATACAAATTCAGTTATAGGCCCTCTGATGCACAGTCACGGACCTCTGCTTAAGAGCTGCTGTTGTAAACTGTGACTTCACATGATCCACCGTCACCGGGCAGTACAGGCAGAGGCACAGGCCTGCCTTTGCAGAATCTTCACTTCTTAAATGATGGTGTACCCATGAATTAGAGGATTATCTTGTACATATAAATAGCTTTGAAATGTCTGGCAAACCTTTTTAACCACACTTGCACATTATGAAATAAAATATGGAGAACTTAAGGCCCTTCAAATAAAGATGTTGTATCACCTGGTTTAAAAAAAAGGTTGTGAAACCTAAGTAATAAAATGCTCTATTTCTCTTGTAGGTTGGCACACTGGATGTCTTGGTTGGTTTGTCAGATGAACTGGCTAAACTGGATGCATTTGTAGAAGGGTAACGTACTTATATGTGTAGACTTAGAGCAAAATGAAAGTCACTGTTATCAGACTAGCTGGACATTGGGTTTGTTATCACGTGTATACTCTGCTTATTGGAATGGTTTTAAAAAATGAATCCTTTGTTTTTCTTTGTAAATCAACTTTATGAAGTTACAATTTACATACAATAAAATATACTTGTTTGTGAAAATGTTGACTCTTTTAATAGCATTTTTATTGAGATATAATTTATATACCGTGAAATTCACCTGTTTGAAGTGTACAACTCAGTGAATTTTAGTATATTCACAGAGTTGTGTAGCCATTGCCACAATCAGTTTTAGTACATTTTCATCGACCCCCACCACCATCACTATAGACATCCTGTTCCCATTAGCAGTCACGCCCTGCCCCCCAAAGGCCATTCATCTACTTTTTGACACTACATTTGCTTATTCTGGACATTTCATGTAAACGGAATCATATGTGGTCTCTTGTGACCGGCTTCTTTTACTTAGCATAATGTTTTCAAGGTTCATCCATGTTGTAGCATGTATCAATATTTAATTTCTTTTTATTACCAAATAATATTCCATCCTGTAGATATACCACATTTTATTAGTCTCTTCATCATTCGATGGACATTTAGGTTATTTCCACTTTTTGGCTAATATGAATAATGCTGCTGTGAATATTTGTGTACAAGTTTTTGTATGCTCATGTGTTTTCGTTTCTCTTGGATATGTACCTAGAAGTGGAGTTGCTGGGTCATATTGTAACTCTATTTTTAACAGTTTGAGGAACGCCAGATTGTTTTCGAAAGCGGCTGCACCATTTTACAGTCCCACTAGCAGTGTATGAAGGTTCTACTTTCTCCACATTCTTGACAACACTTGTTACTATCCATCTTTTTGATTATAGCCATCCTGGTGGATATGAAGCAGTATTTCATTGTGGTTTTTTTGTGTGTGTGTGAGGAAGATCAGCCCTGAGCTATACCATCTGCCAATCCTCTTCTTTTTGCTGAGGAAGACTGGCCATGGGCTAACATCTATGCCCGTCTTCCTCCACTTTATATGGGACGCCGCCACAGCATGGCTTGCCAAGCAGTGCGTCAGTGCGCGCCCAGGATCTGAACCGTTGAACCCTAGGCCGCCACAGCGGAGCACGCGCACTTAACCACTTGTGCCACTGGGCCAGCCCCTCATTGTGTTTTTGATTTGCATTTCCTTGATGGCTGATGATGCATTGAGCATCTTTTTATGTGTTTGTTACCCATTTGTGTTTCTTCTTTGGATAAATGTCTATTTGGATCCTTTGTCCATTTTTTAATTGGCTTATTTGTCTTTTTATTATTGAGTTGTAAGAGTTCTTTATATATTCTAGATAAAAGTCCTTTATCAAATATGACTTGCAAATATTTTCTCCCATTCTCTAGGTTGTCTTCACTCTCTTGATAGTGTCCTTTAAAGCACAAAATTTTTAGTTTTGATGTCCAGTTTGTTTTTTGTTGCTCGTGTTTTTGACATACTTAAGAAACCATTGCCTAATCCGAGGTCACACAGTTTTATGTCTATATTTTCTTCTAAGAGTTTTATAGTTTTAGCTTTACATTTAGGTCTTTGATCTAGTTTGAGTTAATTTTTGTATGTGGTGTGAGTCTAACTTCATTCTTTTGCATATGGATATCCAGTTGTCCTAGCACCATTTGTTGAAAAGACTGTTCTTTCTCCATTGAATTGTCTTGGCACCCTTGCCAAAAATCAGTTGAACATAGATGTGAGGGTTTATTTCTGGACTCTCAGTTGTATTCCATATTTCTTTCTGTTCCATATTTCTATCCTTATGCCAGTACCACATTGTCTTGATTTCTGTAGCTATGTAGTAAGTTTTGAAATCAGGGAGTGTGAGTTCTCTAACTTTGTTTTCCTTTTCAAGATTGTTTTGGATATTCTGGTTCCTTTCATTTCCACTGGTTTCCTTTCATTTCCATATGAATTTTAGGATCACCAAAAGAAGTCAGCTGGAATTCTGTTGGGGTTGTGTTGAATCTGTAGGCCAGTTTGGGGAGTATTGCCGTCCTAACAGTATTAAGTCTTTGATCCATGAACATGGGATGTTATGCCATTTATTTGAAGATGGTGAACTTTTGTCTTCAAAATTCAGTTATATTAGAGGATTTTTTTAAACTACAGTTTTAGTCATTTTTAAAATTCAGTTTAGCTGAAGATGGGTATGGGATCCTTGATAACTTTCTGCATTTTGATTAATTGACAGAATTAGTCTACAATTCCTTTGACTCTTGGAATGCAGAGCTTTTAAATACTTAGGGCTTAGGTAAATAGGTGTAATTTTTAAAATACAGAGTTTTGGAGAATTTTAGAAATGTATATTTGATTGAAGGTTTAAGGGAATGGGTTTGAATAGAAGGGAACTTATTCTTGAAATCTGTGCTGAAGGGTTTCCCATTTATGCTGTTACACTTTTCTGAATTGATGGAAGTACTGTAATGAAATGGCTGTGGTAATAGAGGCTGAGATGTTGTACAGAGATCTTTTAACATAACAACATGTAGTAAGGAAATAAACTGACCTAAAGATGTACTTATGGTCTTTAATATGGGAGGCAAAAACTTCAGTTAGGAGACAGTTTTACAGTCCATTTGGCGAGAGAGATTAAAAGCCTCAATCAACTAAGGCCAGGCACTTGGCAATAAGAATGGAAAAGAGCAGATGAACGGACAAGTAACAAATTACTTGTAGGGTTCACCATGCCATGCATTCAAATAGAGCAAATGTGAAAATAAGTATTGATGATATTCTCAGAGGACCAATTGATGGTAAGAATTGTCTCTTGGTTCCTTGATTGTAGGTTTTTAGTTAAGAGTTTGAGGAAGCTTTTTGTAGTTGCCATCCCTGAGGTGATTGTCTCCCCTGCATTCCCATCTCCCTCATTACAATTGCAGATCATGCAGCAAAGAGACATTGAGAGGGGAGGTTCCTGAGCATATAATTATTGGCTCTTATTTGGGTCCTTATTAATCACCTCAGTGGCTTTATAGACCTTTCTTTAAATCATTAATGGGATGTCCCAAATATACTTTATTTGCTCACATTTTTTAGGGAAGGAATCTGAAAAGTATTTAGGGCAAATGTAGTTCATTTGGTCAGTAGAATTGAAAGTTACCTGTGCAGTTTGTTAGCTCTTCTTGTCTGCACTATTCTGCAATCTTGTCTTCGTCAGTCTTTCTGAAAGTTATAAGGAATGTAAAAATCATGTGGTTGTTAGACCTTGGTGGAATTGACAGATGGTAACTTAATGACTTAAATGTTGCAGTTTCTAAAGTCTGAGCATTGTGGTATATGGAGTAAATTATAGTTTATACTTTTTCAGTAATCTAATCATTAGAGCAGATTTTTTTTTTTTTAAGGTGACTGTGTACTTTGACGAAGATACTCTTGTAAAGATGCATAGGGAGAGTGTGAAGTTTTGAGTTATGCAATGTTAAGTTTATAAATTTGACTCCAGGCAGTTTTATACTCTGAACTATTTCTGTGGTAGACACATGCACATTTTTCAATGTTCATAGCAAATGGTTCTTTTTACAAGAAGCTTGTCGAGTTGTATCGGAACGATAGTTTGTCTCCTTTGAAGGAATGGGTGAATTCTGGAGACACAGCCAAGTATATGTACAAATCCCAAGTTAAACATGTTGAAGACTTATGGCTTACATCTTTTTTTCTGAAATTGTTCTACTTTCTTAGGTTTGAGGTCATGCAGCATAGGGTTGTCATTCAACTTGATGCTTTCTGTCGCTTTTTTCTGGCCCTTATTGGTTCATGTTGCAGGAGTTTCTTAATTTGTCTTCCAGTTTACCCTCCCTGCCATTGAGCATGTAGTCATCAGAGTAATTGTCTGAAGCCCTGTTTCTGACCATGTTACCCCTCTCTCTGAAGTCTGACATCAGAGGCTATCTATCTGCAGTCTGGCCCCAGCCTGCCTTCCTAGCCTAACCTCCCCTTCTCCTCAGCACGACATCCAGGCAGGCTGGACCCTTCATCTTTCTCTGAATGCCCGTTGCTTTTCTCCCTCTGCTAATCTTGACTCATATGATGCCCTGTGCAAGAATATACTTCTTCCCATTCAATCATCCTTTCAAAACCATTCCTATCCTTCATTGCCCTGCTCATGAGCCATTGTGCTTTCTTGATTACAGTAGCTGGAAGTGGTCCCTTTTTCCTTTATGCTTCTCTGACTGTAACCTGGTAGTTTCAGCTGGCACTTACCACAGATTGCTTTGTATTTAGTCATTTGTATTTTTTGGTATCTCTCCAGTTCGATTTTAAGCAAAGAAGCTAGTGATTTTGTCTTGTATACTTTTGCATCCCACCCAGGGCCTAGAGGCAGACATAGAATGGGGGAAAGAACACCAGACTCCAAAGTGAAGACATCATGTTTCTAGTCATAGCTCTGGTGATAACTGGTTTTGTGACTTTTGTGACTAAATCACTTACTCTCTTTATACCTCGGTATCTTTACTTATATAAAATGAAGGGCTCGACAGGGTGACACGTAGATGCCTCAGTAGTTTTGGCACTTTGGTTTCCTCTGTAGCATTGTTGCTTGCAAATAGTAGATACTCAGTGAATAGTCAATGAACAAATACTGCAGGGCCTCACTCTTCATCATGACTGTTGTTTGTTATTTTCCTGCCTGTTGGATCCCGTTTGTCCTAAGTGAAAGCACATAATGGGTGAATGCTAGCTCCCTGCCTCCTCCTTTGTTCTTGGTCCTTGCAGTCAGATCCATTGCCCAGTTTTTCGGCATAGAATGTATGGCTGTTTACAGATTGTTTCTCACTAGCTCCCCACTGCTTTCTTTCCAGACTTAGTAAACCTATTGCATGTAGTCTCCTTAAAACTCTACAGTTATTCAGTTGAGTTTTGCACATAACAAACTCTTAGTGAATTTTATCCTTAAAACATTATTTATAGAAGTTAGGACCCATTAATCTATATTATATAGATATGTATCGTGGGAACATATATAGTCAAATTCATGTCTCTATATAATGTATGCATTGTTTAGCATGCAATTTAGGTCTTTTTCCTCAAAATGATTATTGATTTTTTTTTTTTCTCCAAAGGGTGGTTAAGAAGGTGGCTCAATATATGGCTGATGTATTGGAGGATAGTAAAGATAAAGTTCAGGAAAATCTGTTGGCCAATGGAGGTAAGCTAACGTTTCGTGATTTGATATTGACTTATATAAAGTGAATGACTTAGTTATGAAAACAAAAAAGAATGTATAAAAAAAGATCTATAGATAAGGATATTAAATACATAGACAGCCTTTAAAATATAATTATTGTTAGTGAATTTGGTGATATTGCCAGTTACGTTCTGTCACCTGAAACACAATCTCATGTAAGACAATCTTACATAATATATAATAGAGCTTATGATATGGATGTCAAGTCCTACCAAAAGCAATATTATAAAGATTTACCTTAGATCTTTCTGGAATCTGTTAGTTAACTTACATTTACAAGTGTGTTTCCAAGTTATGTATCTCAGCATTATTCCAGGTGGATACTTGTTTACTCCAGCTTTTTGTAGTTAATAGCATCCAACTGCTACAGTCATAAAATAGAAATTATTAGTTTTATTGCAGAGTAATGCCTCCTCCACTCAAATTTGAATATGGCATTTCTTTGCTTTAGTACCCATTGGATAGACTACTACTGACCTCTCTGTAGCTAGAAACTAATATTTATGTAGAGTTTGCTCTGTGTAATAATGGTTTTGAAAGATGGTTTTGACCTCTTTGTAATTTGTACTTGAATTTGTTGTTTTTTTGTGAAATATCACTTTAGCATTTGCTTCGTTTTAAATTAGGCTAATCTTTAGTGATATGATATTATAATAAGAAATAACCCTTTCCTTTCGTTCTGTCCTGTATTGCCTACTCTGATAAAGGTCACTGTTGGGACTTTGTTAAATTAACATTTGTTAAGTAGAGCCCTGGGGTGTCATGGGATGGTGAGCCACAGTCAACAAAAGACCTCAAGGGAAAGTGAAATAGAGAAGTTTATTACACACAGGTCCTGGAGGAGGGGACCATGTGGAGATGTCAAGGCAGGGTACAGGCAGAGAGAAAGTGGCGGGACCTGGGGCACATGCCTTTATTAGGGTTCACTAGTGGAGTACTTTGGGGTTCCCAGGATAAGACGGGGTTGGTCATTTCAAACCAAAAACAGTGGAGTTTTGGTAGGTTTCAAGGGGTCTTATCTAAGGGGTGCACAAGGGGAAGGCCCTGGGCAGCAGGGGAGAGTGCTTATTGCATGGGTCATATCAGGGGGAGTCATATCAGGAACTTATATTTACTTCTGATTCTGCAGGCTGTTACCGAAGGAGGGGCTAGTGTAATTTCTAAGCCCCTGCAGGCACTTGGCCACACAAAATGGATCTCGAGGCAGCAGTATGGAGTAGTTTGGCTAAAGTTGCAACAGTTGCTGTATTTTAAAACCAGTGTTTCTCTAATCTCATTTGTTCTTGCAAATAATAGATGCTCAATAAATACTTCATCAGTGAAAAAAAATGTACTCTTGCATTTTGTATGGTAGTGATCCTGACCTGTTTACTGTTTCTGTTAATTTGTGTTTGGTCCAGAAGGACAGAAGGTAAATATGGTAATTTAGGGTGCCTTTACTGATCATCTAGGTATTCGGGGAACTAGAGCAGTCAGCCTAGGAGGTGGAATAGCGGTTGACAATCTAGGGGGCATTGCATCTAAAATTGCTTTTGGAAGTAACAGTATGTTATTGACTTGTTGGTATTATGTAGGGAGAAGTTGAGGAAAGAGAGAGATTTTGATATGAATAACTTTTGCCAGTTAGCCATACTTGACATTTGGTTTCCCTGACCTCGATCCCATTAGATTGGAGGGGTAAAGTCATCTTGATTACTAAACTTTCAGGGAATTAGTTGTTGAGTGTCTCTTTAGCTCTCTATTTTTTATTTTTTTCATTTGAAAGTGAAAAGGTCCATGTTTTGAAGATTGTTGAAGTATAGACTCCTAGAAACAATCATCACATGGTTTTATTTTATTTTTTATTTTTATTTTTTTTAGCTTATAAACAGAAATTTATTATTTTTTTGTTTTTTTAATTTTTTGTTTATTGCAGTAACATTGATTTATAACATTGTATAAATTTCAGGTGTACATCATTATACTTCTATTTCTGCATAGATTACATCATGTTCACCACCCAAATACTAATTACAACCCATCACCACACACATGTGCCGAATTATCCCTTTTGCCCTCCTCCCTCCCCCCTTCCCCTCTGGTAACCACTAATCCAATCTCTGTCTCTATGTGCTTGTTTATTGTTGTTATTATCTACTACTTAATGAAGGAAATCATACGGTATTTGACCTTCTCCCTCTGACTTATTTCACTTTGCATAATACCCTCAATGTCCATCCATGTTGTCACAAATGGCTGGATTGCATCGTTTCTTATGGCTGAGTAGTATTCCATTGTGTATATATACCGCATCTTCATCCATTCGTCCCTTGATGGGCACTTAGGTTGCTTCCAACTCTTGGCTATTGTGCAGTGAACACAGGGGTGCATGTATCTTTACGCATTGGTGTTTTCAAGTTCTTTGGATAAATACCCAGCAGTGGAATAGCTGGATCATATGGTAGTTCTATCCTTGATTTTTTGAGGAATCTCCATGCTGTTTTCCATAGTGGCTGCACCAGTTTGCACTCCCACCAACAGCATCACATGGTTTTAATAGACAAGTTCATTTTCAGTTTGTTGAGTAAGCTGGCAAAGAGAACATACTTTTGTCAAATTCTACTTATTGAGAAGACAATTTGAAGTAGTTTCTTAATCTTTGTGTCTCTTCCTCCTGCATAGAGGCATATCATGGGTATGTACATATTCCATTTATTAAGTTATCAAATTCGAAGGAGAATATATGTATATATATATATGCATATATAAAATTTTGAGTAAGGAGAAGAGAGCCAATCAGATTACAATGTAAAAATTTTGATTAATCCAGTTACTTAATACAGTTCCACATTTATTTAATCAAGACTTTTCAGGAAAGACAACATCTTTACTGATTTTTCTCAATGCCAATTGCAGCATTAAAATCTGTTACTGTGTAGGAAACTAAAACAGTTCTTTTGATTCTCCTCAGTAATTAATTTATTCCCTTATTTCAGTTGACTTGGTTACTTATATAACAAGGTTTCAGTGGGACATGGCTAAATATCCAATCAAGCAGTCCCTGAAAAATATTTCTGAAATAATTGCCAAGGTAAGATAAAAAATGACACAGGTAGGACATATTGATTTATAGTGGCTTTATTTATTTTATAAGTATTTAGTTATGGAATATTCTTTAGGTTTTGACAAGGCAACTTAATTATATGTGACTGATACAAACAGGAGGTACTCTTACTACAACTTTACTAAAAAAAGAAAGATGTTAAAAAGTATAACACTTTCGTGTGTATCCAAGTTGTGTAGTTTACTTACTTATGTAGTTAACGTAAATATTGCATCAACGATGTTTAAATAAGAAAAGAAACTTCAAAATTCTATAATTATTTATACAAATTTTAAGGGTAACTGAAATCATGTAGAACAGGAAATTGGAATCTCTTATTAAAGATTTATGAATCATTCACGTAGGTGATAATGGTCACTTAAGTATGTTTATGTACAGTGCTGATTCAGACATTAAACTTTATGGGTTCTCTGGCACCTTCTGACGTTCAGTATTGATCCTCTACCCAGAAAAATGCCTGTATTCATGTACCACATGATTTTATGTAGAATTTCAGAGAATACACAGATCCTGAAGCCCATCCATGAACTTGCTGAGTTAAGAGCTCTTTTTATATTTCAAGGTCCTTGAGCTTGGGCGAAAATGTAAAAGTCTTACCTGAAACTATAATGAGGCAAATAGATAAGGACCTATTAGTTGTTTGCCAACATTTTTATGACCTAGCTAGGTGAAAAGTATGGTTTAAATTACTTGGACAGACGTTCATTGGCTCCCAATGACTTTATTTGTACAGTGTGGTCTATAGATAAATGGAAATGAATAGACAATCAAGGATTTTAACTAAAGTCATCATATAATTCAATGAAAATGAGTAGTTTGATAATATAAAGTAGTGCTTTTACTATGACTGAGCCTTATTTTCTTTTGATCCTTATCAAGAATTTAGTCATCATCTTCCTGATATTATTATAGATGAGGAAACAGGCTCAGAGAGGTGAAGTGGCTTACCCCAGTGCCACACAGCTAATAACGGTAGGGCTGAGTTGAAACAAGTTCTTCCAGTGTTAACTCTACTGCTTTGCTTTTACTCCCTAAGTTTATAGTAGTTTTAGTCATCTTTTTGAAAAATCAGCTTTTGTAGCATTTATTAAACAAATTCAACTACAATTTCATTGTGAGAATATTTTGTATAAGAATAGTGGTGTTGTGAACAACAAAATTCTGTGTAATTTAGTTCCTTTTGGAAATTAATCCTTCAGCCTTATGAATTAAAGCCTTTCAATTAGTAATTGTTACATCTGGTGGCCTAGTAACAATAATTAAAATGTGTGTGGACTAAAACCTTATCTTTAGTAGAAAAGATTCATATGGAAATTACCATGGTTATTAAAAATGAAGTAAGTTATTTTTTAAAATGACCTTTTAAAGTCGTACTTTTAAAATAATAGAAATCCCTACATCAGGAACTAGTGGTGTTTTGTTTCTTAAAGTTAATGTTTGAGTACAGCTACTTTATTTCATCAGTAGAGGCAGATTTAGGAAAACTTTTCCTGTTTTTCTTTTTTAAAGGGAGTGACTCAGATCGACAATGACCTGAAATCTCGAGCATCTGCATATAATAACCTGAAAGGGAATCTTCAGAATTTGGAACGGAAGAATGCGTAAGCATATCAAGTATATGCAAATATTAAGAATTGGGGAAGCAGTCTAGCATATGCTGAATGAGCTATTGTGGGGGTTTAGTAAGTTCCACTTCATGCTATTTCTATAATCAAATGGTGTTTTTTCACTTCATGAGGAAAAGTTCATGAATTCAGGCAAGTCAAAATAGATGCAAGGCTGATTTATTATCCTTGTTTCATCAATGATACTTGTGAGTTGGGTCCTGATTTATCCCTTTATCCATTTGATTTTTCACTGAAAAATTGCCAGATTAATTGTTTTAAATCAGATCATAGTTTAATTGCATAGCAGTTATCTGCTGCTTAAAACAATTCTGTGGAAGAATTTCATAGTGTAATACTCATTCTTTAATTTATCTGTTTTCTAAGTTTTGATTTTTTACATTAGGTGTTTTTAAAACAGAACACACTTGTTTTGGTTGATCTCATTGTAGTATGATCTCTACAAGCGTAGCTTTAAGCACTTAACTATTCAAGTTATGCTTTTATATCCTAGAGGGCGAGTTGGTTGGATACTATCATGGAGCAAACAGGGCAAGTCATTTTCTTTATGAAATGTACTGGGAGACCAAATGAAGACTGATTTGAAAGAGTTGATTATTGGGTTAACTAACCAAAATTGCCTGGTATCAAATGATACCCAGGGAGAGGGAGGAAAATCAAAGGTTGTGCTTAGATGATGTAAATTCATAATTATGATGACATAGGCTTTAATTGATATCTAATGAATAATACTTTCCCAGTCAAGATGTTATATATATATATAATCAAGAGAAGAGCTGAGTTATAATAATTAAAGCAAACACAAAGGGAGGCACTAGAGGCAAGTTTTGATAAATATTGACATTTCTTTGGTTGCGGGGGTGGGAGATATTCAGCTGAATTTTGACTAATAAGGTAAAAATGTTAACTAAGACTAATCCCTCTCTTGAGATGTAAAAATTGTACATGTGAATATAATTAGCCTGACGTTTCTCTATTTGTGTTATGGAACGCATAATTGTCAGCCTAATGATTTTTTTCTTATTCCTCAGAGGAAGTTTGCTAACTAGAAGTCTAGCAGAAATTGTGAAGAAGGATGACTTTGTTCTTGATTCAGAGTATCTCGTCACATTACTGGTCGTAGTTCCCAAGTATGTCCTTTTATTACAAAAGATTTTTACTTTAGTAAAGTATAAAAAAATAATATTGCAGTTTGATATTGTGTATGATATGTAGTTGATATCATTGCAATATGATATTGTAATTGAAGTTTTCCATGAAACCCAGGTGTAAAGGGAATATCACCTCGTCATTCATTCTGTCAAGCAACATGTACTTATGTGGCACATAGAATAAAATTTAGTTCATAATGTGGTAATGGAGATAGTAATTATAACATTAAAAAAATGAAGTAATGCTAAATTATTGGATTTTTTTTAAATATAGATTTTAGATTTTTCAAAATAGGAAGCTCTTTGTATGTGTTTTTCTGAAAAATCTTTATGATTGGTTAGGATGAATTAAGCCCTATAAGAAGCAAAGGATGGATTAGATCGGAGGTTAGCAAATTTTCTCTGTTAAGGGCCAGATAGTGTTTTACACTTTGCAGGTCATATGGTCTCTGTTACTACTCAACTCTACCGTGTCAACTTTGTAGTTGTAGCTGAAAGCAGCCGTACACAATATGTACACGAATGGATGTGGCTGTGTTTCAATAAAACTTTATTTACGAAAACAGGCACGGCCTATAGGCATAGTTTGCTGGATTAGATAACCCTTTGAAATCTTCTTTAGATTAGGCCTTCTATGTTAATTAACATTTGATCATAGTTAATCTTGGTAAAGTGAAACCTTTGGACGTTCATAGGAAGATTAGAACTCTCTCTGTGTGTTAAAACACTGGTAATGGTTTCACTTCTGATTTACACTGAAGTCTCGCTATCAAGGAATCTGGGGAGAATCTAACCTGGAGTGGGAGATTTGGGGACTCTTTAGAGCATCATTGCATGAAGTCTTCCTTGGCTGTGCTCGCCGTTTTATCTGGTTAGGAAACCAGGAATATTGGGAAATGATGCCTCCTGGAAAGGAGTGGGAAAGCACCTCCATTGTATTTACAGTGGCTACAATGTGACCTGACTGCTGCTTTTTTCCCCTTACTGCAGGATACTAGAACACTGATTATTTATAATAAATTTCTGTGTATCTGTGTTTTTATACTATGTGGGAAGGTAACCTTTGCCCAAATAAAAGATTTATCCCGTTCAATCTTTATTTTAAAATACTTAAAATTATTCACTGTCCTGGCCTACAGATGCTACAATTCTTTATTTAAAATTGCAAATGTAATTGTGTCTCCCTACATCCCCAAAAGCCAGTAGTCTCTAGAGAATGTTGCACAATGTTCTGTGGCATCATAGTTTACCGTCACTTTATTTACTCAATACTTCCTGGTACTCTGTGCTTTCAGTAAATATCGTTTTGTCCAGTCTTTCCTAAGGGCCACTGAATAGAAATGATAGTGATTTCAGCATGGCTGCCTTCTTTTCTTTTTTTTTTTTCATGAGGTAATGTATATTAACCCTACAGTTTGAAAGTAATTTAGAATCGATACTTTGCTTTACTTCCTTTCCAAACTTAGTTCTAGGATGTGCCTCTTTTGCAATAGTTACTAGATATAAGAGGGTGGTGGACTGTATTTCCTGCTTCACCATTCAGTGTATTCGAAACGTATTCTCAGTAGGAAACTTGAATTTTTTTGTTAAATAGATTCGAAGTATACTTACTGTAGTTGAATTTCCTGTTTGTCCCATAATTTTTTCTCTTTCTGGGTATGGCAGGAAGCAGGACTTGTTTTCTTTTCCAGAACTTATTGTACCTTTTCTGCAGGTTAAACCACAACGACTGGATTAAGCAGTATGAAACATTAGCTGAAATGGTAGTTCCAAGGTCTAGCAAGTAAGTAGTAGTCTTTGTAAAACCCATTTCTTTCCTAGAATTCTTTTTATAGTTTGGATGTTGGATTAGAAATATCTTTCTTATCTGTCCTTTGTGGTAATTCTATTGTTTTAGAACCATCTTTTCACCTTATAAATAAGTGAGTTATGTTAACTCTGGTTATTATAATTTTAAACCTGGAAAGGACTTTGCACAGTCTGATCAACCCACTCGTGTTTATAGATGTAGAAGTTTGAGGCCACAGAGGTGAAGTGGTTTGCCCAGAGTTACACGTCTCATGAGTGGCAGGGCTAGAATTAGAACCCAGGTCTCTGGTGTGGTACTTTTTCGGTTGTGCTGTGCTACCTTCTGAAAATTCTTCATTCAATATTTATTGTATACTTACTGTGTGACTATAATTCCTCACTTATCTCACAAAGGAAGTGTACCAAAATGGCTGCTAGAGTACTGTGTTAGTCTCCAGGTAGTCACCATCACTTTCCAGTGAGCATAGAGTCTACTTAATGTGTACTTTAATTTGTATATTAATATACATTGTCTGATTTGATATTACAACAATTCTGTGAAGTAGTTTGGGCAGTTATCATTCTTATTCTCGTAGATGAGGAAGTAAAAATGCAGAAGAGTTAACTGGTTCCTAAGGCATATGGCTGTACAAGTGTCCAGTGGCAGAGTTAGGATTAAAACTCAGGTCTTTTAACTCCGGGTCCTGTACTCTTTTGACGCTCTGCCATGTCATTTTTTCCTGAATTCTGCCATTCCACATGAGATGTTCTTTGAGAAAATATTAAATACTGTGTATATGCACCCCAAAGGATTCTTTTGTGTGTTTGTGCCTCAGGAGGTAGCAATGTGGTGAAAGAAAGGTATAGGAGATAGTAAAGAGGTGGTATTAGTAAGTCTAGGCACGTGAAATATTTTCTTTTCCAGTTTCGTTGTGTCATAGCTTAGTATAATGGAGGTAGCTTAATATGATAGAAAGAGTCCTGGACCCAGGGATCTGAGGTGTATTGCTGGTTCTGCTCCCAACTTGCTGTGTGACCTGGGGTAAGTCTTTTAACTTCTCTGGGCCTCATTTTCTTTGCCTGTAAAATGAGCATAGTACCTTTCCTGTACACGTTATCTGGTTATTTTAAGGCTTGATAAGATATATAAAACGTAAGGTAATATCATTATTGTAGTTTCATAAATGTTGATTTTTTTGAGAACTAAACCTGCCTCACTCAGTGAAAACATCTGTTCTACCTGTTTCTGGGTTCAAAAGACATTTGGAATCACTGATTTGAAAACGTAACTGTTTAAATTTGGTCATTAAGAGCAGAGCAGTAGCCCAAGGAGCACCACGAAGAGGATGGTTAGTTCATGTGGGGCAGACACGCTTCAGTGTGTTAGTCTGGAATTTTGTCCACTGCTTAGGAAAGATCTCTGTGACTTGATGCTGGATGTTTTGTTTATGGTAATAACTATATTTCTGAATAATTACTGTGTGCTAGTCATTGTTCTAAGTGCTTTGTTTTTAAGTCAATTATAAGTAGTAATACTTGTTTTTTGGCGTGATGCTTGAGTGATTACTCTTGGGAGCAGTGAAGATGAAAGTGGAATTTTGAGGTAGAAGAATAGATTGAAAAATACTGTCTTCAAACCTGAAAAAAATAATTTCACTTAATACACAATCTAGCTATTTGCAGAGTATTCTACATACGTCTTAAAAGATTGGCCAGTTGGAAATCCTGCCATTATTATATGGTTAGGTGCAGGGATGTGTATAAATGCCACGCCAAATTACAGTAAAGAAGTGAAGGCTGGGCTACTGTTCTGCTGCTGCTGCTTGGAAAAACCGTTTAGGAAGAAGTGCTTTTCACTAGTACTTTCAGAATGACCACTTTCCTTTTTGTCTGTCTACTTTTGCTTGTTAAGACAGTCGGATCGGGTCAGATCACTGGTTAATTTTTGCCTTTTCTCTGTGTTTGGCAACAGCACCACACACTCATTGGTGCTTCACAGAGGTTTTGGTTCCGGGAGCTACAGCTCCAAATGAAGCAGAGGAGCCTGGCCCAGGAAGGCCTGGAAAAAGCTACACTAGCCATTGTGCAGAGAAGCATTTCTCTTGTGTTTTGGAGCAGGGGTTGCAAAGATAACTTCTATAAAGAAAAGCAGGAAAGGGGCCGGCCCAGTGGCGCAAGCGGTTAAGTGCTTACACTCCACTGCAGCGGCCCGGGGTTTGCCGGTTTGGATCCCGGGCGTGCACCGATGCACCGCTTGGCAAGCCGTGCTGTGGCGGCGTCCCATATAAAGTGGAGGAAGATGGGCATGGATGTTAGCCCAGGGCCAGTCTTCCTCAGCAAAAAAAAAAAAGAAAAGAAAAGCAGGAAAGATGCTTTGGCAATGAAACAGGTAGATTGATTAGGGAGCAGAGAAGGCAGGTGTGAGTGTTAGGAGGGAGGTGAGGAGTCAGAAGCAGCAGGAAGAGCTAGTAAGCTCCAGAAGCACTGCCCCTCACGAGTGACTGAAAATGCCACAAAACATCTGAAAAACGTTGACTTTTAGTTTCCTCTAGCCCTGGTTGCACCTGTGAGTGAGAAGATAGTGTTACTACTTCTACATAACAGTAGGACTAAATGAAGAGAGTGAGTTTGAGTCATTTATTTGAACCTAGTAGAAATTTTGTAAATTGGGTTGAACTAAGCCCCCTTTCTGGCACAGTTCCTGGCCACCATCACATCTGGGGAGAGTTCAAGTCCATGTTGAATCATGAGAAGATGGTACTTTATTACCTCTTTCCTCTCCTTGTGTCTTTCATTTTGTTTCTTTACCTTGGTCTCATATGTCACTTACAGTCATTGCTGCTTTTGTTTTGATTTGAAATCCATCCAGCTCTGGCTTCTCATCTCCCCAATACCTGAAGCTCACAGACCATCACCTCCACTTGGTTTCTGCATGTTCTTCCCTTGGCCTTCCCCTTGACCTCTAGAGAGGCTTTACCTCTGGAATCTTAAATCTGTAATCCAGCTCTTGGACCAGAGCCTTCTTTCCATCTTTTTCACTGTCACGGAACCTGCTCTTTGACCTTGTCCACCTCTCCAGTCCCCACCCCTTTATTTGCATTGATGTTGATTTCCTCCAGTCATGCTTCCTCTCCTGCTGAGCCTGGACCCTCTCCAGCTGCTCTCTCTCTGGCACCATCATCTCTGGCCCCTGTGACCATCTGCAGACCTCACCCCAAATTAATCTTTAATGCAGTCTCCTGGCTTCTACGCCTGAATTGTTTGAGTGAGTTGGAGAGAATCTGGTAGCCCTGAATATTAACCAGTCTAGACTTGGGCTGTTCTGTCTCAGCGGGACAGTCCGTTCTTTTGTCAGCACTGTTTCAGCCACACCCATGGCTCTGATCTGTGCCTGTAGCTTGAGGACTCCTAAATCTCCATCTGTGGCCTGTTTATCCCCATAGCTTCAGATCCACATACCTGGACCACTCCGCTTACCTGTGCCCTAGGTAACTACCAATACAATGTTGTCACCTCAGGCTCAGCCTCAGACTGCCCATCTCCCTTGTAATGTATGGCCGCAACATCTCCCTAGTGATCCAAACCAGAAGCGTGGGATTCAGTCATTTTGGACTCTTACCTCTCCCTCATCCTCCCGTCTAGTCAGTTGTGTCATTTCTACCTTCTGTAGTATTTGGTTGAACCATATGAAATTGCTATTTTATAGGTCAAATAGGCTCAGGTATCAATAATTTCATATGGTTCAACCTACTTTAAACTATCACCCTGTACCTACTGCTGCTTCAGTGTAGACTCCCAGCTCTTGCCCGGACCATTGTGATTGCCATTAGCTGGTCTCCTTATCTCTGGCATTTTCTTCCTCTCATCAGTCTTCCTTCTGCATTGTTGCCATTTTCATCTTTGGGGTATGCAAATCTGTTTGTTACTGGCACATGCACACACACCCCTTCTACCCTGTGTCCCAGCTCTGCTTATTTCTGGCAGTTCCCCAGAGGCACTGTGGTATTCCACACCTGTATGTGTTTGCATATGGGGTTCTGCCTGGAATGTTCTTCTCTCCTTTGCCAGTCTTTCAGACTTCCACTTGGCATCACCACTTTAGTGAAACTCTTTTATGTCCCCCAGATAGAGTTATTCATTCTCTTTTTTGCCCCAATATATCATGTATATTTTCTGTTATAGCAGTTACAACTCTGTATTATAGTTTCTTGTTTATATCTGTTTCCTTTATTAGACCCATGCCTTGAGGTCAGGGAACCATGTCTTATTAGTTTTATTCCTAATATCTAGCAAGAGCTGGGCACATTTATAGGGGCTCAGTACATGTTAAATGACTGAAAATCCATTATACTAATGACTCATGGTTTATTTTTTATGAGGTTTAAGAAATACCTTTCCTAGGGAGAGGAAGGAAAAGCAAATGACTTCTATTTATTTTTTCTTAATAAGGTAGGGCAGTGGGACTTAGTCATAAAACAAGACTGAATTTTTATCTTGGCTTCTTGCACCATAAGGATTTTGAGTAAGCCAGACAAGGTTGCTTTGACCCAGGTCTCTACGTGATAGATGGGAGCCTGCATAATAGAGACCCTGCTCGTTGACACAGAGCCGTGTCAAGCATCAGATGCTTTTGAAACGGCCTTCAAAACAGCAAAGTACTGTATAAGTTTGAAAGATTAATATGATAATGGAGGAGTATTGTTATAGGTCTGGAATAGCCTGTCAAGTTGGATTTGGATTTGTTTTGATCTTAGTCAGTTTATGCATGACTGAGTCAATACTGGCAAACCAAAAGATCATGAAATGTTTTTTATTGAGTTCTGTCACTTGATAGCTGCCTAGCTTTGGATTTGATAGGCACTGGGAGCAAGAACTAAGGGCAGTAGTTTTGAGAGGGCACAGTTTAAAAAGAGGTTTAAACATTCTCAATCTAGAGTAGCTGAGTTTCTCTCCATGTCAGTGATTACAGTGGTCACTTCTCCCAGAGGCATCTGCTGGTCATACTGCTGGGGAGGGGTGCCTGCTGGCTCTCTGGCCAAGAGCCAGGGTGGCTTCGGTTCTTGAAGCCGTTCTGCCATTAAGCGTTGTGGTTGTCTCCTGAATTTACTTGGCTAACCAGGCAGTTCTTAGCTTCCTGGAAAAACTAAGTTTGCTATTTTTTTTGGTTATATTTAGTAAATACTTGAAAACTTTGAATTCCATAAGCACTCCCTGAGTTTTGTAAAACTTAGTATTTTTTCTGATTTCAGAAGTACCACATTGTAAATAAAAACTAAACATAAAAAAAAAAACCCTGATACATGAAAGATAGAAAGGAGAAGAGACCCCCACAGCTAAGTGATGTTCTCCTACCCCAGGATCATCACTGTTGAACAATTCACTGTGTAGCTTCGTAGACTCTGCATGTGGGATTCTCTACATGAGTAGCTGTAGGAAATGTTTGAAAGCCAAATTAGGATCATACTGTACATGAACTGTATAATTTGCCTTTCCAAACAGTGGACTTTTCCCAGGGCATTTCAAATTTATATGACAGTTAAAATTTCCTGACAGTTGTGTAATGTCCATGAGAGCTGTGACTGGATGGAAGCTCTGCCCTCACTGGGATCTTCTAAAGCCTAAAAGGAAGCCCTGAGATGCATAAAAGTGTGTTTTGTCAGAGGTTTTTAGACCTCTGTGGTCCTGGACTGGAGAGGGGAAGAGAGAATTAGGTTTCCGAAGACGAGGATGCTTAGCAAGGGAGCAAGGAGACTCGGGAAACAAACCAGCTATGACAATTTTGCGTTGGCCAGCCTGGCACTGATAAGGATTGAAAAGCATGGTTCTTAGAGTTTGGATGCTTTACTTGAGTTAATGATTAATTTTGTTGGGTTAGGAAGAAGTAAATGTAGTATAGGGCTGTTAAGACACGGTGAAAAAAAACAACATAAACACTGGGTGTCTTCAATGTTTGAGGCAACACAGACGAACAGCGGTAAGGTGGTTCGGGAAGGGCTGCCATTCCCTACTGTTCCTCCTCCTCCTCCCCTGTTTCTGAACTCTGCCCTCAGTATGAGCGAGAGTGATCGAGATAAAGCTTTAAATACTTTTTTTTTCCCACAGTGTTCTTTCAGAGGACCAAGACAGTTACCTTTGTAATGTCACCTTGTTTAGGAAGGCAGTTGATGACTTCAGACACAAAGCCAGGGAAAACAAGTAAGATGATTTTTTGTTTTTTAGTTTGTTGGATTACCTGTCCACGTTGTAGACAATTTTGGTTTTTTCCCCCAAATGTAGATTCATCGTCCGTGACTTCCAGTACAATGAAGAGGAAATGAAAGCAGATAAAGAGGAAATGAACAGGCTGTCCACCGACAAGAAGAAGCAGTTTGTACGTGCTCTTAGTATTTAGCATCATCAGTGTGGAGCAGAAGAGAAAGTGCTATTGCTTTTCTTTGATTTAAAAGAAAGCAAAACTTCTTAGATTTTGCTTTTAAGACGTTTGATTTTTGTTATTTTTTTCTATTAAATAGTCAAAATGAATTTTCTCTAAATAAGCTTAGATCTGTGAACGATTATCTTAAAATACATATCTTAAAATTAATTACTCCATCTAAATCTGTATCAGAAATTATTTTAAATGCAGTGTTTTAATTAATATCCCCATAGTGAGGGATTATTTTAGTTAAGTAGTAGTTCTCTCTTTTCAGTAAGAATTTTCATTTTCTTGAGGCAAAATTTTTAAAGCAACAGTCTTTTACTGAAGCAATTTGTATTTAAACTCAGAGAGTTAGTCTGTTCTAGGCAAAATGGGGAACAGGGATGGAATTGTGAAAATGAAAGATGGTGTCAACTTTCTTGCCATGTTAAAGTGCAGAATTATTGGGAAGACTAAAAGCTTGTATGGAAGAGGAAACATGATGGGTGAAAATGTATTTCTCTTGTAACGCAAGACGAAATAAAGACAAATTCCATTTAAAATTATTTCTAAGTACTTCATAAACCATGTCTCAATTGGGAGGTAACTAACCCTAACCAAGTTATGTCCAATAAAACAACTTATTAGGAAGATCCCAAACCCTTTTAAAGAACAGATATTTTAACCAAAGATTTTCACTTTGTTTTGTCATCATTTTTGTTTAAATTAACTGGTTGGTACATCCAAATGAGCCTAATAAATGTTATTCAAATGACTGTTAGTTGAACTGATCGTATATGTCTTTTAAGTATGGAGAGGTGGTATTAAGTTATTTGAAATCTGTTTCTTTAAAGAAGTATTTTAATTTAGTGCTGGAAATCATAATGAATATTTTAAGTTCAAAAAGAATTTCTGCTACGTAATAGAATCATTCAAAATTAAGAACGTGAAGAAGTTTTAGGAATCTAGATCAACCGCCTGACGTTACAGATGAGGAAACTAAGACTTGGGGATATTAAATGACTTACTACCTAACTATTTGTCTTTGCTCATGAGAAGTTATTTATAAATTGAATTCTATTTTAAAAGGATGAAACGTTTCAGATTATGCATAGTAAATTCACATTTTTCTTTTGACTTTCAAACCTTTGTTAGTGCCATCGAGTCAGTTCCAACTCCTAGCAACCTCGCGTACAGGAGAGTGGAACCCTGCCTGGTCTTTTCACGTAATCCTCTCACCTTCTAGCCTTCTATCAGACCATGCTCCACTGCTATTCATAGGGTTTTCCTGGCCAGTTTTTTCGGAAGTGGTTGGCCAGGTCCTTCTAATCTGTCTAGTCTGGAAGCTCCACTGAAGCCTGTCCACCATGAGTGAGCCTGATGGTATTTAAAATATCAGTGACATAGCTTTCAGCATCACAGCCACCACAGTGTGACAATCCACAGACGGGCAGTGTGGTTCCCTGACTGGGAAACAAACCTGGGCCGCAGTGGTGAGAGTGCCGAATCTTGACCACTAGACTGCCAGGGCTGGCTTTTCAAGCCTAGGGCACCTCTATGTTCTGTATCTGTTTAAACCACTTTCATTAAAACATGTGCCTTTTTTTGTGTAGTTAATAGGTTCAGTGAATTTTAGCGTCTACTGAGGTTATAGAGCTGTGGCTAACCTTTTAATCTAATTTAAGGTAAAGTATCCAAAATAATGAGAATAACGAAACATTTTTAAAGTGAATTATAATGTGATTTAATTCTCCTATAGATTCTTACTTGATAGTCACTCCTTTAAAGGTACTTGGTTTATCTAATTTATAATTGCCATTTCCAAGACTAAATTTATGGTGATTTTTTTTTTTCTAAACAGGGACCACTAGTGCGGTGGCTTAAAGTGAATTTCAGTGAGGCGTTTATTGCGTGGATTCATGTGAAAGCGTTGAGGGTTTTTGTTGAGTCTGTTTTAAGGTAAAGAAAGTTAATTGAGAAACTTGGAACTGAAGAGTTTGTAGATCCCTTTACTTTGGATCTCTTTATTATAATACAAAGTCCAATAATAGGAAATGGATTTGGAGAAACCAAAAGGCGAATCATGAGGGAGAGATTGTCAGTATCATACAGATTATTACATGCGTATTAGTCTTGTCCCTTAACACCAGGTTTGGAAAAAGAGATCCATGCTGCTGTACCCTGATTCTTTTCTTATGTAGTTATAAGTTAAAAGTAGATTATAAAATATTAGCCAGTGTTTGTTTAGAAGAAAGATCTTTCAAATATTTTACATGTAGTTTGGTACGCAGTGTGCTGATGACTTATTTGAAGTCATCGTTTCACGTTAACCTAAAATATTTTATTATTTTGAGATACTTAAAATCTCAATCATCTTGTGATCCTCTGTACATGTTGCTCATAGTAGAAATAGTTAAAAATACTTATCTGTGGTCATGCTCACTATTTTTCAATTTCTTTGAAGTTTCAGAGTAGATGTAGGTTAATCTCATGTTGTTTATCATCTTGAAAGTATCTACTAAGTTTACATATTATCACTATTTCCTGAGCGTACTCAATAGATTACCTTAAAAATTGAAAAGTAATTAAACTAATTCCTAGTAGACAGTTGGCTCTCATTTTAAAGAGAGATTTCTAGTGCACAGTGCGGACCAGAGAAGGTTCAAGTCTCTCTGTATATTAGTTGAACTTGTAAAGGTGGTCGTTAAAATGAGATGCCCTCCTCCCATTAACTATTATGATTAAGGAACAGTAGGAGAATATTTGCTTTAAAAAGAAAATCTCTTTATATGTTTGCTTGTGTTACATACTATATTTCTGCTTCCTTATAAGGTATGGCTTGCCAGTGAACTTCCAAGCAATGCTACTTCAGCCCAATAAGAAAACAATGAAGAAACTAAGAGAAGTATTATATGAGTTGTATAAACATCTAGACAGCAGTGCAGCAGCTATTATTGATGTAAGTACTTATTAGATACCCTCGTAGCATAGAAACTGGAATGAATTTCAGAAAAAATTACTGGAAGAAGATAGACAGAAAAGGGATAGTAAACATCGTGATATATCATCTTTTTTTTTTATTACTCTCAGGTTCTCAGTTAATTTGTTAGATAAACATAGCAAGTAATTTACCTTGTTTACCCTATCTTATACTGGTTAGAGCTGTGCTTTGCTTCTTGGTATTTCTAAAAGCCAGTCAGTATCCTGTTGTAGGTCAGATTTTATAGCTGCAGAAATATAGAACCACCAGTGATACTAGTTGATTACGAAAATTATAAATTGCAGAGAAGAAGAAAATAAGTAGTTGTTTTAACTTTATTTGGTAGAAGTAGTGGCGTCAATAGATAAGCATTTTAAAGGGAACTGTTATTTTTCTGTGATTACACAAAGTGTGTGTGATTTTTCTCGTTGCTGTTGTTTAAAAGTGTAGTGAGCTTTTTATTTTATGTTTTTGATTTTAAATATCTTCTGATTTTTTTCCTCTTTAGGATGGTAGTATCTCACATGTACGTTAGAACCCATGAAAAATTAGTTTTTCTTGATAGAAGAAAATACAGGAAATGATTTTCATGGAATTGTTGATAAAATATGAGGTCTGACTTGGATACATAATTTCCTACCAGTAAATTCTTGTAACATACATATATAGTAAGTGATATCTTTAAAACCATATCTAATTTATTTTTATCCAACATTTTATAAGCCCTGTATCCCATAAACTCGATACCTCACGCCTGGATTTAAAAAGTAATTTTTTACAGTATACATAAAAATGGATGGTCAGGTCAAGGTTAAACACATACAGGCTTTGGAGTGAGAGAGTGCTTGAGTCTGGCTTTACCGCTCACTGTCTGTGTGCCTACAGCAAGTCAGCCTTTCTGAGATTGTTTCCTCATTTGCAAAATGGAGATAATGCCTAACTCAGATTAAATTAGTGTAAATGTATTAACGTAGCCCAGAGTAGGTGTTCAATTAGAAGGTAAATGGTAGTTCTTTATTTCTCCTTTTGATTTCTGTAAGTACTTAATTGAATAATTGTCTGATTTTTCCATAGGCTCCTATGGATATTCCAGGCTTAAACCTGAGTCAACAGGAATACTACCCCTATGTGTATTACAAGATTGATTGCAACTTGCTGGAATTCAAGTAAAGATGAACTCCTCCCCAGACAGTCCTGTCCTTGTGTTGGTGTATGCTCACAGACATAGATATGACAGTACTTTTAACTCTCTATTATCCTTTGCTTGCCTCTGACCCCTTTTCCTAGATGAGTTCTCCCATAGTGGTCCATTTCTCAGCATTTTCTTTTTAAAGGAAAATATATGTCTCGTTTCTTTTTATTGATCAGGTCTATAAATGTGTACTAAAAAATCAGTTTATTTATAAACAGAAGAGTTTATTTAAAGAGAAAGTCTTTCCTCATCGGTATCGTGGTATGCATTAATTCCATTTGTTACTCTTGTGCACAAAAGCCTTGTTTACAAGGGAATGGTGTAAACATTTATACTGTTTTGTCCACTGTGTTTAGTAGACATAACTGTTCAATAGTTATTGAATTGTGGTGTAAAAAAATGTGAGAATATTCAGGTATGTGCTTTCTGAATATTTCGAATTACAATCTATGAGCACTGTTGACACCCACAGGAGAGAATAAAATTACCTGTGCAAAGGTGTATTGTGGTGTGTGTAACTTCAGATTACAGTTCAGTTTGAGAGTTTAATAAATAATATCATAGCTAACTTGCTATGCTACTTTTAGGATTTTGTTATATACTGAGGTGTGACCATTTGTGTCTGACTTGCATATGATTTAAATGTGCCAAATTTGGGTCAGAGCACAAATTTGAAAATTATTTTTCAACATATGATGGGTATTTACATTTGGACACTAGATTTTTAGTTCTCTCAAATAATTAGGAAGTAGGGCCAGTTTTGAATAAAGTTTAGCAAAACTACAGCTTTAGTCATTTGTTTTGTCTCTTTGTTTTATATGTTTCCTTTTTAAGATCTATAATTATAAAAGCCTTCATTTTGACATTTATGTCATTTATAACATAGTCTGAAAATAGAGGCATTGCTAGCCTTAAAAATTTCTGAAATGAGTGACTCAGTTTAGCTTCCTGAAAGAGCTTTGAAAAAGGATTATGGCAGTGCTACCCTTCCTGTGCACTCACAGGCTTGTAAATGGGACAGAGAAGTTGACCTTTTATTTTAAGGGCATTTGTAAACTATTCTATTCCCTCTAAAAAATTAGTCTCCAAAATCCTTTTTATTTCAAAAGTTTGTATTGTTATTTCACAAGTAATTGTTAACTTCAAACACATATAGACTTCTATAAAGTAAAACATGAGAGACAACCCCTCTTTCCCCAATTTCTTCTTCCCCCAATTTCTTCTTCCCGAAGAAGTTTATGTTTTCTTCAGGCCTTTTTCTCTGTCTCTACAACATATATCTCACGCACACACACAGTTTATTTTAAAATAAAAATAGGATCATACTACACACATTCTGTCACTCACTTTTTTGCTTATAGTATATCCAAGATAGCTTTACATGTCAGTGTATCCAGAGCTGCCTCATTCTTTTTTTTTTTTTAATTTTTTTTAAAATTTATTTATTTTTCCCCCAAAGCCCCAGTAGATAGTTGTATGTCATGGTTGCACATCCTTCTAGTTGCTGTATGTGGGACACGGCCTCAGCATGGCCAGAGAAGCGGTTCCTCGGTGCGCGCCCGGGATCTGAACCCGGGCCGCCAGCAGCAGAGCGCGCGCACTTAACCGCTAAGTCACGGGGCCAGCCCGAAGCTGCCTTATTCTTGAAACCAGCTACATGCTCATCCGTCGTGTTTGTGCCGTAATACAGCTGACTGCATGGATAGTGAGGTGATTGTTAGTTTTTGCTCTGTTACAAACATTGCTGCAGTAAACATCCTTGCACAAATATCTTTGTTTACTTGTATTAGTATTTTTGTCAGAGAGATCCTGTTAAGTGAGATTGGTAGGTCATAGGTACATATGTTTAAAATTCTGTCACATACTGCCAAGTTATCTGTCAGAATTCTAGATTCAAAGCATCTTTGGGATGCAGATTTTATTTTCAGTTTTCCTTTGGGTAAGAGGAAGCTGAAAAGTTTTGGTTTTGATGTCAGAAAATTCTGGTTCTCTTTCTTCTTTTGCAGGTGTTCTTTGAGTGTTAGTATCTGTGAAGTAGGTATAATCTGTCTATCATAGAGGGATTGACAATTAGGGTAAAAGATCTGTAGGCCTACGTGATGACTTCAAGATTTTATTTAGACTTTAATATTTTTCTGGTATGAGGAGGTAGGAATTGTGCCGTTTAAAATCCCAGTGTGTGTCGGGAACTGTGGGATTTTCACTGTAATTTCTCTCAGGGGTGCAGTACAGCAGAAGGGCTGAGAGGGCAGCTCTGGAGCCAGCCTGCAGCTCTGCAGCTGAAGAGCTCGGTGATCTCCACGCCCCAGTCCCCCACTTGTGGAATGGGGTAATGGGAGTGCCCACTTCCTGGGGCTGCTGTGCTGAGTGTGCACACAAAGTTCTTAGAATGGTGCCTGGTGAGGGCTTCGTCCATGTACTTAACAATCCTGGAGGAGGGCCCATAGCTCTTTCTTCACTTGTGTTTAATCTGGTACATATCATTGTGGAGTCTGGAGGGTAGAAAGAAGTAATTATATTTGGGGGTAGGGGGGATGGTGAATAATAGAGTCTGTGTCTGTAACATAACATTGAAGCTGTTTGCGTGTCTCTGAGCTTCTTCTCTCTTGGATTATTTATATTGTTCATGGCAGCTGCCATTCCTGGGAAGGGACTGTTCCCATTGCTTGCCTTGCTTTGTTTGCTGCAAAGTCAACTGGCCCTCCTCTAGGATAGAGCTCAGATAACTGAGGTTCATTAAGCATTTATTGAATGTCTGTTAGAGGCCATTCTGCCCGTGCTCACACCTGTCACCTCATCTTTCCCGTGTTGTTCGTGCTGAGAGGACTGGTGGTCCCATTCTGCACATGCAAGGGCTTAGGGTCAAAGAAGTTAAGTAATTTCTTTGTTAAAACTCACAAATTCTGAGTCGGAGTCAGAATCTGAACCTAAGATTTCCTCTTGCCGGGTGTCTCCTTCATACCATGCCTCTTGCCCTCTGCTAGGTACTGTACCAGTGAGCCAAACACAGTCCTTAATTTTAGTCCAGGTTAGACAGTGGTGTAGAAGAGGCACCAGGTGTGGATCATCGGATATTAAATTGTGGTGGTATTTGGCAGGAACCCAGGAGCCCAGAACATTTTGTTGATGGTGTGTCCAGGTGTTGCGTGCTAATTTCAGTAGCCTAAGTTATTCAACCTAGAGGATTTTCCTTTCTCTGATAGTACTGCTGAAGTTGCTGTTAAGCAGACACTGTGTGGTCCGGTGGAACATACTCCATACGGCTTTTTGAATGAGCACATATCAAGTAGTACCTTTAAAGTAATCCTTTGTATGTAATAAATACTCAGCAAATGTGAACTTTTCTGTGCTCTCATTTCAAAATTAAAGTCTCAAATGTTGAAAATAAAATATAAGAAATTGATCTAAGTATGAGGTTATTCTCCCTCATTCTCAGCTGCGTTTTTTTTTAAAAGAAGAAATCAAAGTAGCATACGCGCAAGGTTAAAAACCATGGGGCCAGCCCGGTGGTGTAGCCGTTGAGTTCGCGTGCTCCGCGTTGGCGGCCAGGGGTTTGCAGGTTTGGATCCCAGGCGTGGACCTACGCACTGCTTACCAAGCCATGCTGTGGTGGTGTCACATATAAAGTAGAGGAAGATGAGCACAGATGTTAGCTCGGGGCTAATCTTCCTCAAAAAAAAAACAAATAAACCATATACCCAAATATTATAGAATAGCTTATAATGAAAACCTTGCTGGCCTTTAGAAGAAATGTGGGGTTTTTTTTTGTTGTTAACATCAGTAAAAGATGGTTTATCCTAGGTCTATAACAGTATTATGTTCTAGAGGAAACATTGAAAACTTGCCCAATATAGATCCTGTCTCTAAGTTGAAGTTTACCCATTTCAGTAATGTAAACTTATTTATGGTCTTTATTTTTCTAGCATAGATAGCTTTAGATTAATATATGAATGTAATTCTGGCTTTTTTAAAAAGGAATATAACACATCAGAACTATTTTATTCACCAGCTGATTGATCTTTAGAACATTTTTAGATCTGAGCCCCTTGACATGAGAGAAAAAGGGAACAGAGTAAAACCATGGAAGTGATCAGCAGTAAGAGAATACCTTTTGGGATTGTTAGCTAGAGAAGAAAATGAAACTGAGCAGAAACAAGACAACATCCTTCATACCAGGAATGGCCAAATAATGCAAGAAGAAAAAGGTGTAAAACGAAGCAGAAGGCAATCCTGCAAACACCTATAGGACGTTTCCTGACAGTTTCTCAGTATTGAAATTGATTATGTCCACAGCAGTTCTTACTTGGGGAATTTAATAAAAATGCAGATTCATTGCCAAGCTCCACAGAGATGTGGTTTATAATCCTGAGTAGGTCCGAGGAATAGTCTACATTTTTAACAAACGCAGGAGACTCAGATGCTAGTGGTCAGCCAGTTACACTCTGAAACTCCGTTTTAAAGATTCTTCCTCTGAACCCCCGGATAGGGTCGCTGACTTAGGGTTTGTGAGCATCTTGAGGTCTCGTTCAAATAGTGATTCTTCTCTGTTTCACACAGACCACACTTAATAGGATCACTCCGGATAAGTCAGCTTTTCTTGTCCTGTCTCCTGAAGAAGTGTTCTACGTCGTTAATCAGTAGAACCAAAAAGTTCTGCTTCAGCAGAAATTGATCAATGTAGATGTCTCTTAACCATAGGATATCAAATTGAAATTTGCAAAAACTGTCTAAAATGATCAAGGTTGTGTTTTTATCTTTTAATTGAAAACCCACTTTGAGTATGATTTATCACTGTTTATAAAGTATAAAAGAACCATCAAAACACAGACTTTCAAAGAATGGTTTGTATGAGGAAACGAAAAAAGGGATATTAAGATAAAAGTGAAAAAAGTTGGATGCAGCAAAGATTATTGTTGATGTTAGACAAAAAGAGGAATAAACTGTGTACAATGCTACTTTGACCTTGAAAGTAGTTGTTTTTTCTTTTTTTACCAGAAGATGAACAGAGACTATCCAGAGTATCAAATCTAGAGAGCAGCTTTCGTGTATTTAGCCATTTCCTAGATATGTGGATGACCTCTTTGGATACTTCTGTGACTAATTATTCTTAATTATCTTTTTCACCAACACAACTTGCGATATTTTATATTTATATATCTAGGTACATATTTGGGCTGATTCTAGAAGTAATTACAGGTCAGTACCGGTTTTAATGTGTTATTAGAAGCATAAAGTCCTCTCTTTTTTAAAGTAAAAATTGTGACTACACAGGTACTGTATTTTGCCACAAGAGGGCACTCTGGTGTCATTGAAAAGCAAACAGGTAGTTTCTTCCCCCCCACGGTTGGTTATGAAACATGCAGTCAGTGTCCCACAGACTCTGGGTAGTGTTCTGATTGGGGATATTCTGTTATAAGCGTTTGTTAATATAAAGTTTTCAGAAAATGTTGGATGACTCATTTTCGTCTTGTGACTCTGTATGTGTGTGTGTGTGTGTGTGT